TCATTCAGTGCTGTAACCAAAAAAATACGTAAAATTATCATATTTCCTGGAAATGAAAAACCAGCCGTGGGGTTCATTTTAAAAAAAAGAGACTTGTTATTTTTACAGAGATCTGGATATTAAACCGAAATATGAATCCTACATAAATTTTAATCTTGTATTTAGAAAAGAAGAAATTTCAATGATTTTGAATTAAGAAGAAAATGTGGTGTAAAATTTCAAATAATGGGTACGGCTACGCAATGCACTTAATGGTTTGCGTCACTGAAGAGACACTTGAAACTGCGCCGTTCAATTAACATCAAAGCGCGTCTAATTTGCTACAAATTCAGGCTTGAAACGAAAAAAAAAAAACATTTCAATATTATTGGGTCTCTCTTGAAATGTCTGAGAGTTACGTAGCTATCAACATAGGTTTCATGAACCCAGTACATGGAAGTATGCTCTCCGCACCTCGTAAGGAATGTAAAACCAGTCCACTCTTTCCTGTCGCATTTCTCTGAGATGCAGTTAATATCATCTTCAGAGCTTTACTGAAAGCTGACAAGGAATATTTTCTTTTGGGACTTTTCTGGTTTAAATTTTGTATACAATTCTTCTTTCTCCGTGGGTGTTACATGGCTAGCCAATAAGATTTATCTTATATTTAATAACAGTAACAATATAACTATTGGTATGAAAGCCAGAAGGAAAGAAACCACTGAGAAGACTAAGGCGCAGATGGGTGAACAATATTAAAATAGATCTTAGAGAGATAGGATGGGATGGTATGAATCGGATTGATCTGACTCAGGCTAGGGATCAGTGGAGGGCTCTTGTGAACACGGCAATGAACCTTCGGGTTCCATAAGATGCTGGGAAATACTTGAGTAGCTACACAACTGGCGGCTTGTCAAGGAGGGCTGAGCTCCATGAGTTAGTAAGTAACAATATATCACGTACTTTATAAATTATGGGTTTACAGTTTTATATATTTCAGTCGTAGATACATAAATGGAATATAAAATATTATAAAATGAATAGCAACAAAACATTTTTAATGAGTAATAAAAGTATTTTATTAATGCAATATCATTTGATTGATCCTTAACTTGAATTTCATATGATGAACACCATCTCAGTTTCAAACATCCTGAACACGATTCTTATCATACGCAGCTCACTATTGTTATGAAGCAACAATAAAGAAGATGCAATTGTTCTCATAATGTCAGCAGCAAACAACTGCTGACACATTCCTCTATTGTGATCCTGAAGTACACTGGTTAGAACACACATCACATTTCTTTATTGCCCATTTTGAACTTCTTCATTCTTTCTCTTCCTCTTTCAATTCCATGGTTAAGATTTCTTCATTCTTCTTTATAGCCACATTCGTCAGTTTTTGTACTATCTCTCTGATTGCAACTCATTCCCCTCACTCTTCCCTGCATCTCTTGTACCAGCATGGCTCATGGCCTCCTATGTGGCTGTGCTGGAGGTTTATAACCTCAAAAAAAGTGGCGGCTCCCACCTCTTATCTTCTCTCACTCCTTTTCCTTTAAACTTGGCATCATTTCAGCTTCGGCTTTGTCAAGCTGAAGGCCGTACCACTTTTTGTTATCTCTTTTTCCCTTCCTCTGTCATTCTTGGCTTTCTTTCACACGTTTCCCTATATCGGGTACACGCATTTTGCATTGGCTCATGAAGGCTTCTTAACTGCATGAATAAAAGTAAACGGTTTCCACATAAATTTGGGCTTCTGTGTTCTCTCCGTTTTCGTGACGAAGGGAATATTAGAGAAAAGTGCGTAATGAGGAGCTCCATAATTTTCATCTTCATCAGACATTATTAGAGACCTCATAAGAAGAATAGGAAGAGAAAAGAATATAGCATGCAAGGGAGCCATGAAGAAATATATACAAAAATTTAGTAGAAAACCATTTCAGAAGGCTATGTATATATGGCAAGACAATTTTGCAATTGATCTTACAGAAATAATGCGTAAGGATGTGGAATGGATACAAAACAAACTCCGTGGTTTTAGTCCGCAAGCGAACTATATGACCGTCTCTGTGGTCTAGTGATCAGAGTTCCTGGCTACAGATCCAGATGTCCGGGTTCAATTTCTAGCGTTACCAAATTTTCTGAGAAGTGGTGGGTCTGGAACGGGGTAACATTTTAATAAACAGTAAGTAGGTAAGAAGCATAAGAGAGGTAAAATTGTCCCTGTGCTGAACATGACACCATATCGTGTAGACGTATGGGGGATTTTGTATTTCCACGCATTAATTTCGGCATTATACAAAGATGAGTGATTAGCTTCACACCTCTGGCCGCTTTTCCACATTAAAAAAGAGCATGGATAGGAAATTGGGTGATGGCCACATCGCGCTCCTACTGGGAATTCACACCCCGAAACCACGGAAAGAAAAACCATGGGCTGTGTCCCAGTACTTGGCTGTAGGAACGTGGGTAAACAATAAACTACAGGTAAGAAAATATTTATGACGCAACCAAGATTCGAACTGGTTGTCTCCCGACTACAGATG